GGGAAAACCGGGATCGGGGCGGGAAAACCGGGATCGGGGGGGGAAAACCGGGATTGGGGGGAATAACCCGGGATCGGGGCGGGAAAACCGCGATCGGGCGGGAAAACCGCGATCGGGCGGGAAAACCGCGGGATTGGGCGGGAAAAACCGGGATCGGGGCGGGAAACGGGATCGGGGGAATAACCGGGATCGGGGGGGAAAACCGGGATTGGGGAGAATAACCCACGGGATCGGGGGAGAAAACCGCGGGATTGGGCGGGAAACGGGATCGGGGGGGAAAAACCGGGATTGGGGAGAATAACCCACGGGATCGGGCGGGAAAACCGCGGGATCGGGCGGGAAAACCGCGGGATTGGGCGGGAAAACCGCGGGATTGGGCGGGAAAAACCGGGATTGGGGGGAAAAACCGGGATCGGGGGGAAAAACCGGGATCGGGGTTTGGGGGAAAAACCGTGGGATTGGGGTTTGGGGAAAAAAATGGGGGATTGGGGGAAATGGGGGTTTGGGGGAAAAATGGATTTTTGGTGAAAAAATGGGGTTTTTATGAGGAAAAATGGGGATTTTTGGGGAAAAATGGGGTTTTTGGTGAAAATATGCGGATTTTTGGGGAAAAAAATGGGGTTTTATGGGGGAAAATGGGGTTTTTATTGGGAGGAAATGGGGGTTTGGGGGGAAAATGGGGGTTCTAGGTGAAAAAATGGGGTTTTATGGGGAAAAATGGGGTTTTTACTCGGGGGAAATGGGGGTTTCAAGGGAGAAACTCGGGGGGGTTGGGAGGGAAAACGGGAAATTTGAGTTTGGGGGGAAAATGGATTTTTGGTGAAAAAATGAGGATTTTTGGTGAAAAAATGACATTTTTACAGGGAAAAAATGGGTTTATTAGGGGGAAAATGGGGGATTTTTGGAGGGAAATGTTGAAGTTTTGATGGGATTTGGGGTCAGAAATGTCGGATTTGGGTCAGAAATGTCACCTTTTGGGTCAGAAATTTTGGATTTTTGTGGGATTTTGGGATCAGAAATGTTGCATTTGGGGTCAGAAATTTTGGATTTTTGCGGGATTTTTCGTGCTGGCCGCCCCCGGGTCCCGGCGGGGTTTGTGATTTCGGGGCATTTCGGGGGATTTTGGTGAATTTTGGGGAATTTTGGATGCCGCAGGTGATTTACACGGTGCGGAACCCCAAGGACGTGCTGGTGTCGCTCTTCCACTTCTCGCGGATGTTCCGGCCCTACAAAGACCCCGGGAGCCTCCAGGAGTTCATGGAGAAGTTCCTGGAGGGAGACGGTGCCGGACCGGGGCAAAACGGGGCGATTTTGGGCAAAACGGGGAGATTTTGGGGAAAAATGGGGAGATTTGGGGCAAAACGGGGAGATTTTGGGGCAAAATGGGGAGATTTGGGGCAAAACGGGGGGATTTTGGGCAAAACAGGGAGATTTTGGGGAAAAATGGGGGGATTTTGGGCAAAACGGGGAGATTTTGGGGAAAAACGGGGAGATTTTGGGCAAAACAGGGAGATTTGGGGCAAAACGGGGCGATTTTGGGCAAAACGGGGAGATTTGGGGAAAACGGGGAGATTTTGGGGAAAAACGGGGAGATTTGGGGAAAAATGGGGGGATTTTGGGCAAAACGGGGAGATTTGGGGAAAAACGGGGGGATTTTGGGCAAAACGGGGAGATTTTGGGCAAAATGGGGAGATTTGGGGAAAAACGGGGGATTTGGGGCAAAACAGGGAGATTTGGGGATTTTGGGGGAGATTTGGGGGGAGTTTTTGGGGATTTTTGGGGAGTTTTGGGGAATTTTGTTGGGGAAGATTTGGGGGGAATTTGGGAATTTTGGGGGAGATTTGAGGGAATTTGGGGGAGATTTGGGAATTTTGGGGGAGATTTGAGGGAATTTTGGGGGAGATTTGGGAATTTTGGGGGAATCTGGGGGGGATTTTGGGACTGGAAATTCAGGATTTGGGGTCAGAAATTCAGGATTTGGGGTCAGAAATTGGGGATTTGGGGTCAGAAATTGGGGCTTTGGGGTCAGAGATCGGGGGTGTGGGGGTTCGAGGTGCTGGCGGTGCCCCCGGGGTGTCCCCACGGTGTCCCCACGGCGTCCCCACGGTGTCCCCACGACGTCCCCGTGTCCCCAGTGCCCTTCGGCTCCTGGTTCCAGCACGTCCGGGGGTGGCTGCAGCTCCGTGGCCACGAGAATTTCTTCTGGATCACCTACGAGGAGCTGCAGCAGGTGGGGACAGGGGGGACACCTGGGGACATCGGGGACACTGGGGACATTGGGGACACCTTGGGGACATCAGGGACACCTCGGGGACATTGGGGACACCTTGGGGACATCAGGGACACCTTGGGGACATCGGGGACACCTCGGGGACATCGGGGACACCTGGGGGACATCGGGGACACCTCGGGGACACCTTGGGGACATCGGGGACACCTTGGGGACATCGGGGACACCTCGGGGACACCTGGGGGACATCGGGGACAATCAGGGACAGCTTGGGGACAGGGAGGACATTGGGGACACTGGGGACACTTCAATGTCATCCCAGGTGTCCTCAGTGTCCCCAGATCCCCCCCAGTGTCCCCAATGTCCCCAAACCCCTGAGTGTCCCCAAATCCTCCAAATGTCCCAAATCCCCCCGATGTCTCCAATGTCCCCAATCCCCCCGATGTCCCCAATGTCCCCAATGTCTCCAATGTCCCCAATCCCCCCGCCCCCCCCGATGTCCCCAATGTCTCCCCGATGTCCCCACGGGTGTCCCCGCACCCTCCCCCCCGCGTGTCCCCAGGTGCAGGTCCAGGGGGTGGCTCCACTGGGCGGCGTCGCCCCCC